GCTGTGCCACTGTCCCTGTGCTGCACTTCTTTATCTCCCCTCCACGAGGCAGGGATGGACTGCTGAACTGTGTGGTAGCATTGTAGAACAGGGAAATTACATTATGGGGCATTAAACAGAGAAGTTAACACAGCTGATTCTCCTTAACTAAATTATTGCAGTAACTGAAAGAGGAACGGTCTAAACAGAAACCAGAAATATTATCTAAACACCATAAAAATTCCTGTAAAATCATCAAACCAGAGAACATTCTTTAAGTTCCTTGTGGTTTGGGTGGTGCACAGTAGTACAGTTTGGCAGGCCAAAGGACTGCAGGAAAAGCTTGCACTTCTCTTTCAAGGATCCTGTTTCCTGGGGTTGTGGAGGGTTGAATCTCTCCCTGCTCTTCATTTTCACACTGTAGCCAAGCAAGGAAGAACTTGGAGTGTGCAAAGGGGGTCACTGAGCACTTTTGCAGAATCAAGGAAAGATGGGCTTTACACTGCAGGACTACAGGCAGGATTCCCATTTGGCAAGAAATAGCACTGAATTTTGGGTAGAGGAGTGCATAACACAGTGTCATACACTTCTGATGGGAAAAGCTGCTGGCTTTTATTCTCATTAACTATTTCTGATGTGTATGTAGATCCCTTTTATGCATCCAAAATGCTTCTCTTCGTGCTCTGATTGGAAGATGACTGCCAACACAGTGCTGAGGAACTGCCCAGTACATCTCCATCTTCACTGCTGTTTGAACATAAGCAGATCATCTTGTATATTTTCCCATAAAACTGCAACTCTTACCCAACCCTTTGCCCCTATTTTAACATGCCACCAATTCATCCTTTGCTCAGGCTAATGTAATTTTAAATTTCTTTTTATGCTGATTATGCTATGCAGCTTTGGGTAAAAAGGCACATCTGGTGTGGCACAGGATATGGCTGAGGGAGGAACAGCATGTACTGCCATCAATGGTGGGAGGAAAGAGACCATTAAAATGTGCATATGGTTCCTTGACATCCTTTAAGGGCGAGATGGAAGATGTATCCAACAGGCAAATCCTCCTAGGAAGGCATAACCTTAACCACAATGAATCCACACAGAGTGTACCACATGAAGGAGCTGCAGAGTGGTTCCACAAAAAGCACTCAAACCACCTGGATTATGGGATGGCCTTGGTGAAGCCCATGGAAGGCATGCCAGCAAACCACTTTGTCTGTTCTCCCTGCCTACCCAGGAGAGGCTGCTCTCTTTCCTCGGGCCAGTCACACTGTGTAACTGGATGGTGTACACAACAGGTGTATGAGCACTGCTGGTTTTCCAAGGTCAGGCAAGGTTGGTATTATTTTTCCTCTCAAATCCAAATACACAGAGGACGATTATATAACACATCCTGTGTCTCCTTCGTGTTTAGACAAGGAAGCCAAATACCTGAAACACAGGTTCCTAGGATTAACATCATATCTGGGTCTGGGCGTCTGACTTCCACTTAGGTCAGCACTAAATTACTTGCACTGGTAACCACGAGTAAGGTCCTGTTCAAAAGAACGGGCTCCTTGGTCCGTGCCCAGGGGAGGAAATGTGTGGGAAATGGTGACTCGGGTACCACATGCACTCAGAGCTGCACAGACACTCAGATTTCCATCTGAAGCCCTTTCCAGTTGAAGCGTTTTCCTTTTGAAGCCCCCGTGCACTCTCTGTCGGGCTCTCAGCGCTGTGCAAACACCCGCACAAGGCAGCGCTTGGCGATCGCGCTCTGGAGCACGGGCAGCACCAGTGCTCCCTGCCCGGGCAGTAGCTGGGTGCTTTTCTCAGCTGGCAGTACTGGGAATCGTCCTGCTGTGCTTCACGCCGGGAGGGAAAAGGCAAACCCAAGAACTGTGCTGTGTGAGGCCAAACCAAGCCGCGCACCTTGGGAATTTCCCAGCGCCCACTAGAAAGACCCAGGCCACCCAGATCCATTCTGTCCTTGGGGGACCCACCGTGCCGGGTCGGATGCCATTCCCGGTGCTTTGGATGTCATTCCCGGTGTCTGTGCGGAGAAACCCCTCTCCCCTCTCCCCCTCCCCGCTGCCCCGCCGCCGCTCCGCCGGGCCGGCAGGGGGCGCTGGCGCGCAAGGGGACGGCGCTCTCGCGAGAGCGCGCGGCGGTGTCGCGTGCCGGCGGAGGGCGGACGGGGCTGGTGAGGGAGCGGCGCGCGGGCCGCGGTGAGGGGCGGACGGGGGAGCGGGAGGGGGGGATCCGCGCGGGATCCCGCCGGGAGTCCCGACGGGAATGCCGGGAGGGATCCAGTGGGGAATCCCGAGCGGGATCCCGTGCCGCGCAGCGGGAAGCGCGCGGTCGGGCCGGCCTGGCGCGGGCCGGCCGGTCGGGAAATGGGCGGAGGGCGGACGTGGAACACGAAAGACGCGGGGGTTTTGTGCTGGTCTCGCTTTCCCTTCGTGCCCCCGAGGGAGTGTGCTGCAGGCGCTCCTAAGGTCACTGCTTTCATCGCGAAGCCAAAATCTTCTGTGAGCGGCGGCGCTCCTGGGAGGTTACATAAGCACTGGTGTCCCGAATGGCGGGGCTGTCCCGCGCCGGCGCTGGAAGTTTGTCAGACCCGTGTTGCTCGGTGCCTGGTAGCTGGTGTGGGCCAGAGCTCCCAGAGGGGCTGCTGTGCGTTCTTTCGGCTTTAACCTCGGTGTTCGTGGGTGACATTAACGGGAAAAGCTGAGAGAGCAACGAGGTTGCCCTCCTCGGGGGTTTGGGTAAGGTGTGCAGTCACGGCAGGGTTTTTCCCTGGCAGTCGTGTGAAAACCGCTGTGAACCACGCTGCAAATGCACAGCGTTGGAGGGATGGATGTGCTGAGAGCGTGGCAGTGCTATCTCTGAGGCCATATGCCTCAGGCAGAGCCAGGGATTTGTCACTTGTTTTCCAAGGGTTTTTAAATGCAAAAGCCTGGAAGACAGTTGTGTTGAAATGTGCAATCTCTGTTAAGATAACAGTTTGTCTTTCCCACTCTGGGACATATACTTTGGTATTGTCAGTAATTACAGCATAGAGATTTCAGGCCTTCATTTTCAGATACTTTGTGATTTCACTTGTGTGCTGTGCATAAAACGTATATTTACAATAGATGGGATTAAATGGTGACCAGACTTCTCGTCTCAGCTGCACTGGCGACTTGTAACTCTACAGAGCCCAACTCTTGTGAGGGTGTCTGTACCAGTGCTTTGTGCAATGACTGTGCTCTTCTGGGGCTAAAACAGGCTGAAAAGGTGTTCAGGTCTGTGGCACAGATCATACACTGTGCAGGAGGTAAAAACTAACTGAATTTTAGAGAATGTATTACCTGAAACATTTATTACTATTCCTTAAGGTGTTAATTTCACTTTCTCTCTTACTCACAACTGCCAGGGGTCATTTTTTTTCCTTCATGTGGCTTGTAACTTATACAGTAGGGTGGTACCTACTTGTTTTGGGGGAAAATAATCCCCCCAGCAGGAGCTCCACACAGATCCTGACGCGTGATGCTGATGCTGTACTGTACAAAATGCTTGTTGTGCTTGGAATCAAATGGAAATTTCTGAGACTCAGCTCGTGTACTTACAGCACTTCACTCCCTGACCACAACTCCCACGTACCTAATTTGGGACAGTTACTTAAAAGGAACTACTGTTTTTTGGTGGGGTAAGAGTGAAATCCTTGGGGATTTCAGTTCAAACAAGCCAGTGGGTTTAAAACCACATGAAGTCAGGTCAGACAGGGCTTTGGAGCAGCCTTGTCCAGCTGATTGGAAGAAATCATTCCACATTTATAAACAGAGCCTGTTTGATGTGAGGATTCGTTCCCTTCAGAAGTTTTTTCCCAGTTCATCTCTTTTTGAGGTGATTCCACACTCATTTGCAGTGGAAAACAATGCTCTTCCCAAGGGCAGCGGGGATGGTTGTGCTGAAAGTGAAAAGCTGGTAAAACCAGTTTCCTGCTGACCTATTTGCAGCCTGTGCAGGCAAGGCAGGGTTATCCCGTCCTCCTCTGCTCCCCAGCCACCAGATACTTAATTAAAAGCTAAATTTTTGTCCATCAGTTTCTGACCTACAAGTAAAGTAAAAGACAAATATGGGAAGTAACACCTCAGGAGTGGAGGGCAAGCAGCCAGGGAGGTTGCACAGAGCACCAGGAGAAGTAATACTGTGACCAGGATTTGGCTCCAGGGTCTTTGTGATGACAGCTCTAGCAAGCCAAAAATCTTCCTGCAAGAACTGGTAGTTATTTTATGATTAGGAACAATAATATCACCTTCCTGCCTCATTCAGGCACTATTTTTGGTTTCGTGGCTGTAATATTTTGACTGATTCTGTACTGGCAAGTACATGTGTGTGGCCCATCCCTGGGAGTGTTCAAGGCCAGGCTGGATGGGGCGCTGAGCAGCCTGGTCCAGTGAGAGGTGTCCGTGCCCATGGCAGAGGGGTTGGAACTGGATGATCTGCAAGGCCCTTTCCAACCCAGGCTGTCCTGTGTGCTTTCCTCGGCTGTGTGGAATTGTGGACGCAGGAGTGGATGTGACAATAACTGTGTGCGTGTGAGAGTGTCATTGTGGTCCTTCCAGGAGCTAACTGCACCCAAGCGATCTATTGTCCCTGTTTCTGGCAGTGCCAGGCGCAGTGCTGGGTGGGGATCCTCGCTGCTGGGCTGTGCATGGCCGGGGCGGACGGGAGGTTGAACTGTGCCGGCCAGCAGCCCTTGAGCCTTGGGGGCTGGGTTTGCTTTGTTGCGTTTCTTGTGTGGAGAAGTCACATTGCCACACTCCTGAACTTGCAACGAACAGCGGGATTTGTTGCAAAACGTTGTGGTTTCGCGGTTTGAGCTGCCGGTGGGACGCTCGGAGGCCCTGGGTGTTCAGGCTGAGCGGAGCAGGGCCGGTGTTGGGTCCGGCCCGGTCCCTCCCCGGCGCTGCCGACGTGCGGCTCGGGCGGGCGCGGTGCCCGGGGCGGGGCGCGGGCTGGGCCACCCCGATAAGGGCTCGGGGCCGGGGCGGGGCCCGTCCGCTCCAGCCAGCGGGGCTCTGGAGCGGAATCCGCAGCGGGAGCAGTCGCGCGTGACCGCCCGAGAGCGTTCCCGAGGCCGAGCCTCTGCGGAGCGGGGGCTGGGAATGGGAGCGGCGTGATAAACAGGACGCTGAGGGATTGCTTCCTGCGCTCGGAAAGTAAGTGCGAGCTCGGCTGGTGGGGGGTGTGCATCCCGTGAGTCACGTACCCCTGGAGGGGACCCCCGTGTGCTTGGAAACAGATGGCACGGAAATTGCCAAAAAAGGTGACTGTGTTGCAGCCACGTGTCCTCTTGCAGAAGTAATTGTGTTTTGTTACTGTTGAGCTGAAGTGTATGATCCCGGTAGTGTCAGAGCATGGGAAATGAAAACGGCTTTAACTCCCAGTGCTATTGGGGGGTAACTGGAAAACGAGGTGGTTACCCCCACTTAGTTTTGTTAGAGGCTTGTGGAAATTGAAAAGAAGGGTGGATTGGCTCTAATCCTCAGCTGTCATGTGAGTTTTACTGCCTAATTTTTGACAAAGCATGAGAACAGCCATTTTAAGAGGAGTTGGCTGGCTGGAGGAAGGCAGCATTCATTCTCTCTGTACACATTTTGGAGAGAGTCTCGTGCAATCAAATGAAAAAACAGAAAAGCAATAAACAGTAGTTTAAGAAATCATTAGAGAAGCATGTATAAGCTTCTTAATTTTGACTGTACCAGTATGAAGTTGCTAATGCAGAGTATGAAAAAGTAGCATTTCTTCAGGCACTGAGCTCAATTCCCTCATGTAAATCCAGAAAACACATACTTGGTAACACAGCATTCTTTGGGCTTGGTATTTGTACGTACAGAGCTTAAAATAATTTTCACAGAAGTTGTAAGTACATTATCTGCCATGTGAGCAAATATGGCAGTTATATTTAGCCTTTCAGACTTTGACTGGGTTGTTATGTAAGAATATAATAAAGGAAATAACAAACAATATGATTATTTTGTTGTTTACTTGTGAGTATAGGATAGGTTTTAATGTATCTAATGCCCTTGTTTCCTTGGCTGGGTGTATTGCTGCCTTTGCATAAACATTTGTTAGATTACATTTGAGAACTAGGGCTCCCAGTTACATTTTCCTGTAGGTTGTACATGAGAGTTGACAAGCAAGATAAAGTCTAAGGACAGTTGTGAGGAGAAAGATTACCTTTTACTGAACATTGCTAGCATGGTGAAGATCTTGAAACCTTACAGAGTTATATATTGCACCTGTGAATGTGCAAATACAGGGACAAAACCAGAATTTATAGTGCAGCATGGGGAATGATGTATTTTTGATTTCTGCACCCTGTCTAATTTGGTGTAGAATAGCATAAGCTTCAAAAATACATTCAAGTTCACTTCTGAAGTTGTGCTCTGCACTTCCTAGAAGATGAGATGTTATGGTGAGGATGGGACTGAGTTGTGTGCAGGGTCTTTGGGTAGCTCCTGTGCCTGCTCCATGTCTCATGTCTGGGGGCAGGAGAAAGAAGAAGCCCGTGGTGTTGAGGGAACCAAGGGAGATGCAGCCTCTGCTCCTGCCCCACAGCAAACCTTGCTTTTTCTGTCAGCTTCCATGTGCAAGCCACTCCCAGCCCTCTGCTCTCTGAAACACACATATCTGTCTGGTGGGTCTTTGCTGTAGAAGGATTTTTGGGTTGCAGTGGGGCTTGGAAAGTGCAGCTGAAGTAGCTGCTCAGTAACACAAGCTCCGTGGTCGTCTTATCGTATTCAAAACACTCTTTTCAGTTCCCTCCAGAGGAGTGGTAAAATCTGTGACATTTTAGATGGGCATGTGTACACTTCAGTTAGTTCTGCTGGGAATTCCATAGCTGTCATTGCTGAGGACTTGTTTTAAATAGAACCTTTACTGTGAATGTTTCATTAGTGCTTCAGGAATCCCATGGTTGGGATTGAGGAGAGTTGAAACTCTTCAGTAATGAAACACCACTGCTTAGAAAAAATGCTTACAATGATCTTTCCCATTTTTTAAAAAAAAACCCATACTATCTTTTCCCCTTTACTTGCAGAATCCTTACCAGTCTGACTTCAGCAGAAATTTTGTGTCTGAGCCCCTTTTACTTGAGGCTGTGCTGAAGCTACAGTAACTTGAAGTAAGTTGCTGCTGCTGTGACCAGGACAAAAATATCGGGAGCTGCCCTAAATTTTGGCCTTTGCAGCTTAGTAAAGAGTGATCTGTGGAGCAATACTTGTGTGTTCAGTTCATGGAGCTGTATTGGAATTTTCTGATTTATGGGAGCCAGTTCATTTGCCTGCAGCTGAAAAAGGGGTGACTGAAACATTTCCTGCCCCTGGCTGGGCCATTCTCCCCCAGCTCTGGGATTGCTGTGGAACCCTCCCTGAATCAGCCCCTCAGCTCTGGAGTTCTGCTGGCAAGACATAAAGGCCAGAGCAAGGTGACTGGGAGGGGAGGATTGCCCAAGCTCCTGTGGTTGAAGCTGTTGTTAAATATCTGTGGGTTTTCCTGCAGTTGTGCAAATTCCGTGGGCCGAGGTGTTAGAGAGGCCATTGTTGCTCCTGGAGAAAGCTTTTTCTGTGTCTGGAAAACTTCCATCCATGCAGGGTCTTGGAGTTTTTTTGTTCACCTTTATAGTGAAGTTGAGCAGATGGCTCTTCATATGATGCCCTTCCTCTTCCATTAAAAGAGGAATAGAAACTATTAAGAAATTGTTTTTCCACTGTGTTTTAGGAACACTTCAAGAATGAGTCCACCACAAGATAGAAATAGAAATTCCTGCAGCAGTGAGACTCTGGCAAAGTGCTTTCAAGCAAAGAAGGACTTGGAAACAGCTATATCTGGAATTGTCAAAGCTGAACAGCAGATTAAGGAGAACTGGCGGGAGGTAATTTTAAATTATTTTTAAAAAATATTTTAATAACTAACATTACTGTAATGACAGTTTGTTATTCCAGAGTACTTACTGTTGTCTTGATGATCTGAAATTTCCCTAGAGACTTGCAAGCATGTTGCTGTGTCATTTGGTCATGCTGTTGATAAATTCCTGTATTAAAAGCTTAGGCATGCAGAGTTTCCTAAAGCTGTTGGTTGAAACATTAGAATAGAGAGATATTGGAAGTATCACTGTTCTTTTTTGCTTCTCTAAAGGTAGCTTTGGAACTTTTACTAACCTGAGTTTTGTGGCGCTGTGGATGACTGTGGTTAGTTTTTGAGAAATAAGTTGCTCCAGCAGTACTTGTCACCTACCTGTGACAAACAGCATCTTGTCATCAGCGCAGCACATGTTTGTTGACCCTGTTTGGCAGATGTTCTAGAAGTGGTGGGTGTTGCCTTGCAGGTCAAAGCGAAGATCCACAGCCACATCAGCCGGCACCTGGAATGCCTGCGCAGCCGCGAGGTCTGGCTCTTCGAGCAGGTGGATCTCATCCAGCAGCTCAAGGAGGAGGCCTTGCAGCAGCAGGCACAGCAGCTCTACTGGGTAAGGCTTGGAAAGTGCCTTGTGGTCACGTGTTGCACTGGATTTTTGAGGGAACTTTGTCCTTGAAAGTGTTTCCTCAATTCTAATCCTAGAAGCTGAAACAATAATGTGTGTTTTGTCTTCCGTGCAGTATTTGGGACAGTTCAATTGCCTTATTCATCAGCTGGAACGCTCCTATAGCAATGAACTAGCAAACCAGATCTCAGTGTGCCTGGAGAGGTAAATATATTTTATTTATATTTTATCAACACAGTTGGTTTTATTTGGATTTATGAATTTAGTCTGATTTTTTTTTTTTTTAAATTTTAATAGAGCTAATAATAGATCTCACTCACTATTACTACATTTTTTAATGGTTCCTAGAAATAAGATACTTGAAGCAGTCTGAGATGATTCCTCTCATGTTTGGTTTTTTTTTTAATCTTAGATTGAAAAACAGGACTATAACAAGCAGGGAGGTACTCATTTGTGCAGATTATTTCAAATATTAGTTGATGATGGCAACTGAAATAAGGAGATGAAACTCGTGTTTTGCTGGCTATTTATTCTGTTCTGTGGTTTATGGATAGGCATCTCTTTCTTTTATGAAAGTAATAATTTTTTTTTTACCTAATTAGTACCAAGTCAGCTAGGAAGCCTTTGTATGAAATAATGGAGTGACTTCCAAAACAGGACAGCAGAAGAAAACTGTAATTTTTTTCCTTTCAGTAACTGTTGTCTTACTCTTTCAGACTGGAAGGTCTTACACTTAAACCAGAAGAGTCTTCCATCCTGAATTTTGAGGCTGACACCTCTTACCTTCGCCAGGCTATTACCTCATTTGGTTCCATTAAAACAATGGTAAGCACCAAGACTTCCCTGGGTTGGAATATTTGCCTCGAAAAGTAGTGGGATAAATTCCAAGATAGTTCTACTAGTTACAGCTTGAATGGAACCTGTGCATGAGTCATATGGTTTTAGCTGTATAATTAACTGTTGCATGTAGTTCCCAGTTTCACTGAGTTTAGTTATCTGCTCATGTACGTGTTATTTTAGTATATTTTGACAGAGGCTGAGGGAATGACTGCTGTATTCCACCAACTGGAAATTAATGTTACAGTTTTCTTTAGACAGTAATAGTTAAAATGTTCAATTAACTAATAGTTAAAATTATCACTTTCTGTGATAATAGTGTTTTGGGATTCTTATATAAGCAGCATATTTCCCGTATTATTGGAGAAAATGCTCTTAAAGGAAGTGAACTGAAGGGAGTATTTTTTAGTAAATCTTTCTCCATTCTGTTTGTAAATGTTGAGAACATGGTTAGCCACAAAGCACTGACCAGTTGTAACTGCAGTTTACTTCTGCTTTATTGTAGAATTCATCCTTGAAACTGGACAAAATGGAGATTGAGATTAACTTTTACTTTTCTTTCAGCAAACCTCAGAGAGAGAGAATGCATCTCCCTGGTTCCCGGGGCAGAACTGTGCCCTGATGAACTGTGAGCAGGTAAGATTAGAACTTGTGTCTGTGTTTAATTGCATTAAAGGGAAGAGGAGAACTCAAGCACGTTTTGTGAGCTTGAGTAGCGACTTATGTTTGTTAAAGGTGCTCGAGTATTCAGTAACAGTGGCTGTGGTGAGCACCAGTGATCCGATGTTGTAGCTGCTCCAGGAACAGCCATGCAAGAACATATTATGAAAGGATATGTGGGGTGTGACTGTCAGTCAGCATTTTTTAATTGAATGTTGCTTGATGTTGTCAGGTCAGGACTTGGAACTATCCAATTCCTTTTAATGCAGAAATTCATTGAGAAATGTTATGTTGGGCTCTGCACCACGTCAGTGAAGGAGGGCAGCAAATCAGTAATGGGAATTGGGGCCAGGAGCAGGGTGGTGGCTGGGTTACACATCTCAGAGCTCTGTGTTTTAGACATTGTTTCTTCCCTTTCTTGCTCTCTGAAGAATCCGGGGTCACAAAACAATCAGTGCAGTGGCTTCAAGTCATACAGGCAATTGAAGATTTACTTTTTTTGTAAGGGACTGGTTTTTCTTTTGGTGCAGAAATACTGATGTATGTTGATGTTCACCATAGATTGCCTCAGCAATTAGACATTCTCATGACCAACAACATTGTTTCTCAGCAGAAGACACTGTGTGGCACAGTGAGTGCCTCCCTTGCAGACTGGCTGCTGGGAAGCAGACCCGTGGCTGCTCACCAGGCTCCGTATGTTCCCAGCACCAATCTTGAGGAATGGGTTACACAAAAATGTGTGTCAGAGCCCAGCCAGGTAAGCCTTTTGCACTTAACCTAGTTTTTAACAGAGGGGAAAGCAGAGTATCTGATAGCAGGCAGAATATGGTGGGAATTAAACCTTCTGTAATTCTCTTTATTCTGCTTCATGTTCAGCTAATCCTTTGGCACTTACTGTCTGGATGCTCCAAGCTGTAACTATGCAAACAGTTACTGAACTTTGTCTTTTAGTCTCAACAGATGTATTTCAATGTGTCTTTACTAGGATTTGAATTCTTCCAAAGTTTGTTATTCTGAACAAGCCTGGGGAAATCTGAAAGATTTGGAGAACTGGCTCCTGCAGAATCAGCAGTGTGATGTTGCTGGGAAGACAGACTCCCCTGGCCGCAAGGACTCCACCACTACTTCCAGTTCATCCTTTTCCACTATTGAAAAGGTGGAGGAACTGGAATACCTTGGACAAGAAGAGATGGACCTTTCTGACTGGCTGATTACTGCTGACACAGAAAATGGAAATACTGCTTCAGATGAGAAATGGAAGTGTGAGTTTAAACCTTTTAGGGAAGAATGCAATTTGAGTGATTGGCTCCTCAAAGCTGAAACATGTACCAGTTGTCGTGGCAGCCAGATCAAAAATGTGGAAATTGAGAACCTGGGAAATCTGAAGTGCCTGAATGAGCATCTTGATGGAAAGAAATCACCCACTACATCTCCTGTAAATGCTTGGCTTCTTCAACATCCCCAGGCCCCCTTTAAAGTGGAAGATGTGTGCAAAGCTAATGAGCTGTGTGCCAGCTTTTCAGAATGTGTGTGTGATGAAAACTGTGGAAAAGAGGCTCTTTGCAAATGGCTTCTGAAGAAGGATTGGAAGGATAAAAATGGAGTTCCAGTCAGCCAGAAAGATACACCAGACCCTGAGTATGAGAAGAGCAAGTCTGCTGCCAGTACCTGGCTGAACCCCACACAGCAGCTCACAGGGGAGCCCGTGAGTGCAGAGAAAGTGGATTATTCGGCAGAGATCGCAGAACCCTTGAAAGTATTGCTGGAAAGGCCTCTGACGAGCTGGCTGGCCAAGGCTGAGCACAGAGCAGAAAGCGCAGAAGAAAAGGCGAGTCGGGAAAAAGCAGACAAGAGTTTCAAGAGTCCTTTCCTAGACCTCCTGGCTCCATTCCACCTCCCCTTGAATGTGAACAGTTGGGTGTTGAGTTCAAATGACCTGGAAAATGCAAACCCGCCTCCAGCGGAAGATAAATGGCTTCTGCGCAAGAAAGCACAAGTGAGCATAAACTTGTTACTGCTCTGTCTTATGTGCTGGGTTTATTGTCTTTCTCTAATGACTTCTCTTCCAATTTCATAGCTCTTCTGGGTAATACTGAGTGACAGTTTTAGGTTTCTTAGCTCTTCTAATATTTTCATGATTATTAGTAACTTAACACAAAACAATGTTATACTAAATGAAGACAGTATTAATCTCAAAGACTCAGAAGTCAGTTTTGGTTTTGTTTTTGAACACTTAAGAGAATTTGAAGAGAAATCAGAATGTATTTGCGTTTGGGGATCAGTAATTAAGGTGACTTCTCTTTCAGGACTTTGGCCTTCCTACAGTTTGTGACCTTTTTGCCTGTATGAAACTCAGTGGAGATAACGAAAAGTGGCTGTATCGATCTCCTTTACAGGTAGGATGCACAGAGTGTGTTAGAACAGCTGAGCCTAAACATGACTTGGGGGTACAGAACACGGACACTGGCAACTAATGGTCATCTTCAGTTCTTTAAATGTAATGCTTAGCAGTGTTGTAATTTCCTCCCAATAGACCTTTTCAATAGCTTGGACCATTCTCCTTTGTCATTATTCCTCCTCTTTTGATAACAAGCCACAGAAGGAATGACTTATGTTCTTGTGTAAATCACTCAACTGATTGACACTTGGTCACTTGGATTGGAACTAAAATGTGCAATTAACGTGTACATTTCCAGGCAGTAATGTATTTACAACTGACATCACCTTTTTCCTTTCTGACAATAACTCTTTGTCATTGTTTTTGAAATTGATGAAAATAGTCCTTGGCAGGAGCACTTCAAACCCTAAAAGGCAAGATACTCATTCTAGGAGGAATTTTAGTATAATTTCCCCCCCCCCCCCAGGGTATCTTATACATGTTATTTCTGCCAAAGTGTTGCCTTCTATTTATCAAAGAGAGTAACCCCATTTTAAATTTGTTTAGATGTGAAGAACTGGAAGTGTCGAATCATCCCCTTCCTGCCATCAGTCGCACAGTGCTGAGTGACTGCAGCCAGCTGAGTTCTCGTGTTTTGTGTTCGGCCGTCTGCTTTTTCTTCTAAAATTATAACAAAAAGAAAGATTACTCATATAACAGAGTTATGGTGCAGAAGATGCCTTTTTGTTATGATTAATTCTGAAATGTAAACCCACTGAGCGTAAGCAATCTGATGCTATAGAGGTGTTGGCAAATTCCTGTCTGTTATGGGGATACAAGGATCTTCTTTCGTGGGTTGTCACTTGAAGTATGTTGAAGCCAGTGCAAGTATAAAGCAAAATCTTCCTGGTGCTGTGAAACGTCCACCTTTGGCAGTGACTTTGGAAGTGCTGCTGTTCCTTTCAGCTGCTACAACTTTGTCATGCATTGCATTCCAGCTTATGGGCATTGCAAGGTAACTTAGGCTGTATTGGGAAGCGATTTCTTTTATTGAGCAGTTGCCAACTTCGAAGGCTTCATTTGCATCTTGTATTGGTGCATCTCCCAGCTGCGTATGTGTAGTCCAGATTTTGAAAAGGACATAGATTTATGGGACCTGGCATGCAACAGGAGAATTGGTAACTTATTTTTAAATGAAAACTTTTCTTGCAAATTTTTGAGCCATTCAGGGAATATGGTAGGGTAGGGTGTTGATTTTCATTCACCAGGAGATCAGACCCTGCCTTGTCCCCAGCATTTAATAACTATTTGAATGTCACTGGAAAAGCTGTAAAATGGAATGTGTATGTTTCTTCAAGGTAATTCATAATGAGTTTTTATTGACTGAACCACTGCAAAGCAGGCATCTTAGCCATATAATATTTAAAGGTAATATTTGGGGAATCAGATGCCTTTCAGCAGATTGATGTTATGCTGTTTCATTGGGAAATACAAACTTGGCAAACTGTGTGGCTCCCACTGATGCAGTTTAAAGGTATTTAATCTGTGGATTTCCCTGTGATTATGCATGTGAAAGTGGGGTCCAGTAACTCACATCCTTATAGCTGTGGACATAATATGAGCAATACCTCTTCAGATGTTTAGCAGTTTGAGCCCATAGGAAAGAATGCAGAGATGTTAGACGGAAATATGGATCATGAAAAACCGAAGTTTTGTAGTTTCTGGTGTAGTTTCTATTCACTTAACAAAATGCTCTTTATGAAAATAGCCTCTCCTTCTGCAGCCTGCCTGGGAATGGAAGTTGAGTTCTTCACAACCCTGTAGAAAAGAAATTATTATCAAGATCTGACCTTGGTACCACTCTGCAGTGTGAACACATTCCTGTCTGATCGAACCTGTGCATTTGTTTAAAAATAAGTTTTTAGTCTGAGAAGGGGACACTGCACATCTGAAACCAGACCCTGAAAGGGCTTAACATCAGCAAACCACTTGAGGCTTTTGTACTTTCATAGCCAGGGCTTTCTGCTGGAGGCAGAAAGGTGTTTTGGAAGTCCACTGTCCCTTTCAAATGTGTCCTTGTTGCTGTATGGGAGGACTGCACTGTGACTACTCCAGTAATAGCCTGATGTGATTAGCAGTTGAATTTTATGAAGGTGATTGACGTGCAGCCCACCTCTTCTAATGAATTCCTTGTAGTTGTCATTGTGTGCTACTTTGTCAGTTCATTATGGGCCTTTAAAACTTGGGAGGTATGTATTCCTTTACTTACTCAACTGACTTGTTGTCACTAATTGATATTTATGTAAAACATTGATTAGTCTTTTCCATTAAAAAATAATTGCAACCAAAGGGTGTGTTATGTCTCCTTTGCAGAGTGGTTAACAAAAAGTGCTGTGGTACGGGTCCTGGTTGGCCTCTGTCTGGGAGCTGCTGCAGTTGTGCTTTCATCCTCAGATGAGATTCATGTGCTTTACTTCATTTCACCACTGCCTGGAGCTGCATGGAGCTCCACTGGGAAAGGGGGAAACCCTGGGACAGGGTACACAGCCAGTGGGGAAACTCCTGTCTTTTACTGCCCTGCAGTGTGAGCTGCTGGACACGAAGCTTTGTGTCTGAATCACCTGGGCTTTGCTCAGCTGCTCTAAGAAATACAGACCTGGACAAAGTGGTGCATTTGCTTCTTAGCACTCTTGAATACTTAGAGGATTCATGGATTTTAGCAGCTTTTGCTGCTCTTCTCCTGTGGCTGAAAAACATCTGTGGCCTGGCTGTGCAATTGGAATCGAGTTCCTCTCTGGCTCTCCTGTGTTTGAACATCAGACTCCCTGCATGAGTGGTTCCTCCTTTGAGGATTTTCCATTCCTTTAAACTCCAGCCTGCCTTGTACCAGTAAGAGAACATTTACAGTTGGGCCTGGCAGCCTTTTCAGCCAGGGTACCTTGAATTTCATGGGTGTATCCTGAATGTTTAGCTTTCAAAGATAGGGAAAAAGATACTATTAAGTCATCCCAAGACAAAGAGGTCAATAGCAGGAGCTGAGAATGTTCAAAGAAAGCTCTCCAAACATTTGAGCAATCTCAGATATGGGATTGTTGCCTTGTGGTGAGGAATGCTTCCTTCTCTCCCACACAGCTCCCTGGAGCAGGGTGCTTGCAGGGTTCCTGGGACACCAGCTCCACTCCTTGGCCCCAAACCAGCTGTGGTGCAATTGGGCAGCTGTTGTCAGAGGCAGGGAGAGAGTGTGGCTGGCAGATGGGAGAGACACCCAAGGGGGACACATGACTGGTATTAATAATGCTGTGAAAGTACCAAAAAGGGTTGTGGTACCTTCTGGTGTCCCTGCATTGGGCTGGTCCAACGCTCATGGAGTACACAAAGCTCCACTTAAAAATACCAGTTTCCTATCCAGAATTTATTAAGGACAAGAGTAACCTTCTGTTAAAGCATAGAAAAGGATTTTCCCCTTCTTTTGCAGTCACAGGAAACACAGGCTATGAACACTGGATCATTTTTCTCCTCTAACATATGTTTGCTTCCTATTTTCAAAAGCAGCTTCTTTCTTCAGGGAAGCTGAAGATTTCTACCATGACTAGTAGAAATTTGTTGATCTTTTTCAACAAATTCCCCCAATCATAAGAAAAGTCACCTGCTGACAGGGGATAGTGCAAGTGGTTTGCCCTTCTGTTCCAAAGACTAAGCAAACCCAGCTTTACAAGATTCAAAAAGCTTTCATTACACCTGTTGTCTCAGGCTCCCTCACTTGCTGCCACAGCACGGAAAGCTGCCTTGGATCTCTCAGCAAAGCTGGATGCCAGACTGGCACCAAAACCCTGCTCTTCAAGATGGCCAAGGTCTCCCATGCTCACATTTATGTAATGCTACATGGGAGGGCTGTAACTTGCTCGCCAAATCCTGTTTGCAACTTGATTTTACTTCCTTTTATTCCTACTGAACCTGCATAAATTTTGGTATATCGATTGTTTGCCATTAAACTGTGAACACAGTGTGTCATGACACAGAATATCGGTAACATGTTCCCTCTATTCCATACGCACAATTCACTGCTGCCTCCATGCTGGTTGTGTTTCAAAGCTCAAACTATGGATCACTCCATATACAACCAAATTATGAACCAAAGCTTTTAACAGCTGTAACACAGCTATTTCAGAAAAATGCACTCAGCTCTGCCCCTGAGGTAAGCAAGTCCAGGAGATCTGGGGGTAGTGCAGACCAGATAACACGCTAAGTTGTTCAAGAGTCAGCCTAGACTCAGGTTGTGCTAACTCTGAACTTGAAAAGGCTTACTCCTACATCATCTCTAGTGTACCAAAAGGAGGAAAGACATTTGTTAAGCTTCAGAGTTTTCCCATTTAATTAGGGCAGAGAGCTCCTGGGTCATATTTTAGTCCTGAAAAGATTTCTAGAAAACCTAAAAGATACATTGCAAAGTTCCTGACTTAAAAAGCAATGCTCACTCACCATCAGCCCCCAAAGCAGCTCTCAATCCTTCATCCATCGTGGTCAAGAGCACTGGAACTTAAGTCCAACTAATGAAGACCAAGAAACGTGGGGGAGGAACTCACTGATGCCAACGGGCAGGGAAAAAGCTCAGAAGAGCACACGTTTTTCTGATGTCCCATGACAGTGCTGCCAGTGCCCACGTCACCATTGCTTAGCCTGCGAGCAGGGGACAATTTCTTTGGTGGCAGCCCTCAAAAAATGCCCACTGGAAAGTCCAGCTGTCACACCACAACAGTAATATGCAGCCCACTGATCACTGTGAAACATAAGGCTTAACAAAAACAGGCATTGCTGGCATAAAGTATCTAATTTGACCTGGTATCTAAGCAAAGCTAATTGAGTTCAGCTGTGAGGGCTCAGTAGCTGGAGCTCTATAAAAAGCTGGTCTTGGGGGTCATTTCCTCCTAAGGAGCCTTCTTAGCAAAAGTTGTGTGTCTTTTTGGAGGAAGGTAAGAGTTACCACCTTCCTGTTACTGCTTTTTTGTTGCCCTTATTTTGTCAGGTGCACTGTAGTTATGGAGAGCTGTTTCAGGAGGGAGAACTCGAAGTAGACTCTTGTTTAGCTTAAAGTTGTTTGCTAAGCAGTAAGTTTCCTGTTTTTCCCTTGCCCTGCCTTAACACTGTCTTCAGACCTGTTTAATGATTTACCTGTTTAATTCTTTAAACACTGAAGGAGTGAGCTGTTGTACAGTAACTCTAATTACTGAACTCATTAACATCTTATTGTTTAATTTATGCACAAATGATGCTTGGTACATGGTTTAATTTTAACACTGGAGAAGGTTTAGGTTCGTCACAGCCTTCATTCTGCCAAAACCTTACAAATGGCATTTCAGGCAAAAAGCTTTGTGCTAATTAAAAGTCCTGTAATAAGCAATGAGAGGAGTCTTTATACTGTTTGGTTTTTAACTGTTGGCTAAATGAGCTCTGAGATACTGGAGCACCCAAGTGTTTTGAGAATCCACTGGCAGCTCTTCTGCAACATCAACTGTACCTCATCCATAAACAACCAGTTCCTTATTTATTAGCACAAATAAGGGCGTGCAGGGCAGCCCTGCTATGCCTCACCACAACCACGCATCAGGAGACCCTCAGCCTGCTAGTCCACTTCCCCTCACCCACTGACTCCCCCAGCATTTTATCACGTTGGTCCTTCAAAATAAATCCGTAAGTAAGTCAGTGGATGCAGCACATTTTTGTCTTACCAGTGGTAGGAACAGCAAAGGATAGAAATGGCATTGAGTAAGTACCACCCTTTTTATTAATGATGATGTCCCTTTTTATAGCTTGCCTTGTGCTGTCAGAGTAACAAGCCTTGCCCTGTGCCAGTTGCCAGGTGATGTGTGCTGAGGCTGCAGGGAATGGTCTATGGACACAGACTTTATTACAGGGCTGTCGCTGCCGTGCCCCAACAAACCTGGCAGTGGGACTTGAGCAGGCCTTGTGGCTCTGGCCCAGGGCTGGCTGGTGAGCATGCCAGGAAGACTGTCTTGGTGGCCACTCTGTTCACTTGCAAGTCCAACAAATATTGCTGCCTCTCCAGCAACTGGCTGGTGGGAAGGAAAGGGCCAGTCCAGCTACGCGGTGTCAAGAGGTTCCTCCCAGCACAGCTTCCTTCGGTTTCACACTAATTGTAAATAAAATAGGAAAGGGGCACCAGATATATCTCACAACTGATTTGATTGGTGACTATGCAAGTGTGTCCTCTGCCCTGCTCACAGGGACTGCCGGGCCAGGGAGCCCTTCATGTGCTCCCAGTTGTTGTACAGAGCGTAGAGGCTGGTCAGCGTCAGACCCGCGATCCCACCTCGTGCTATCCCACGCATTCCACCTGAAACAGAAAAAACAGTAAAGCTCAATGAAGTTACATTTGAGGAAATGGTCAGTCAACAGCACTCCCCAGAAGATCTCTAAATCCAGAGACATTTTAATGAAACAGGTTTTCTTTTCTGAGTAACCTTCCAGAAAGGGTCCTTGTGCTAATTCTACCTTCCTCTCAAACCTGCTGCCAGGCTTGAGGTCAGTCATTCCTGATCCTGACACTAATTCTGCTGTTATGGCTTCCTCTCAAAATGCATTAGCACTACTGCCTCATGGAAGCAAAGATGATTTTCCCAGTCTATTCCATCTGTCCTTAACACAATTGTTTACAGTTAGGTGTGATCTCTTCCTGCTGTAAGAACTCTTCCATTTAGGTTTTCAGAGGAGGAATATGTTTTTCAGTTATGGTAACTAGCTCTGGGTGGAAAGAGAAAGGGCAGGAGGGAAACAGGTGAACACAACAGCAGCTGATGTGGACATGGCCTTGGGCTCCAGAGATTTGTGAGGGCCATTGTGCAGAACCTATCACTGCTTTTGTGTCTTTGGCATTTTAAAACCCTTTGATTAAAAAAAAAAAAAAAAGTAGATGAAAGGGATTAACTGGCAAGAATTTACTAGGGTGTACATTGACCAATTTATTTAGTTTTATTAATATTCTTAGTTTTATTAATATTCAAAATTATCACCTCACAACAGCGAAAATTGAGTCACACAGGTGATTAAGGTTTGTGAGCACCTTAGTGTACGGCAAAAAGAGAGGGCAAGTTTGGCTACTACGTGGCTGAAGCTGGGAGTCAGATGGCACCCCAACTCCATTCCATCCATGTAAGTGTTGGGGTGTACAGGGGCAGAAGCAGAGACTTCTGATGCTTTTACTAAACAGCAAAATGCTTCTATTCCTCAGTAGTAAGAAGTGCCTCAGTAGAGCTCCCAGAATGCACCACAAATGCACAGCTGAGAGTATGACCCTCAGTGCTAGGAAAACTTCACTGAGGTTGATTCTGCAATGTTTATCATTGCAGCTGAAGCAAGTTAGATAATGTGTACAGTGTATAGAACAAGGCCAGTTTCTGCTGACAGTGAGATAAAACCTGTCTGCTTTATTGGTGAAACTGGCAGTGCAATTCAGGTTCCTCAAACTTGAAAGCAAATCCATCTCAGTAACAGAGAGATTTTTATTTTTTTTCCCCATTGTGGGTCATAAAGTTGTCACAGAGAATTGCTTTTAGGCTTGTATTGGGGCACAAAGCTAATGGTGTCAGTTAGACTGAGACTGTGTTACCTGTGTTGCAAGGTTAAAATGGATTTCATTGGAGTTGTTAAACCTCCTCCTATTGCCCAGGCATGCAGTGAAACCAAGAAGCTGCAGAAGTGGGACTTGAGACTAGAAGCCATGTGTAGTCATAGTTTCTCAAAAATTCATTCCCAGAGCAGCTGTGACCATTTGAGAGTTTTTTGGTGTATAAGCCTAACTGCTGAGAATTCAACAGCTCTAAGAAAAGCCTTACTGAGTATGCTCTATGTGCCTAAATCAGCATTTAGGAAAGCAAATGCAGACTTCTGTGTTTGCTAATTGATCCTGAATTTGTTGCACAAAAAGTTTTTCATATGAAGGGGTTGCAGCTGGGTACACAAAACTAACCAAGTGCAAGCAGTGTCTGGCAAAAAGCCACAGGTGAAATTTAAAGGACACTTTGTGCAAAACAAGTATTTGAGATAATCTGTAAAAATATTGACTCCTTGTTTCTGCTGGGAAAAATGAATAAAACATTAGAGCCTGATTTTCTGTTGTTCTTATCAGGAATCAACCAATCACAGCAGAAACCCCCAAAGGGGGCTCATAACCATTAGGGTGTACAGGGAAACACACAGAATGTGGAACATCCCCACACAACACAATGCAGACAGAGCTATGACTATTCCCATAGGTTCTTCCCTCAGCCCCCAGGTTCAATTCTTCTCCTTTCCTCTTAAAATCCTATTCTTCTTATGGAAGAACAGGTAGTCGAAAGCTGATTGACCTTGGTTCCAGATTCTGTGAAGTCAGGATTGTACAAGGAAGGTATCATCTTTCATGTGGATAGCTGAGCCACTTGGTAGCATCATGCAGACTCAAGGCACAGTTCTGCTACGATGTTCTACTTCTAACACAACAGATGTTGGTATTTCCATGTGCTGAGGCCAGCCAGGTAAGGATGGCAGCTCTCAATCCACTTACAAGTGTCAACCACAGGGCCTAAAGCCATCTGTAGGCTGGCAGGCAACGTGGGGACATTGCTGAAGATGTTTTGTGAACAGGAACTAAACTTGTGCATTACTGAGAAAGAAAATATCCAAGGAAACATGCAAGAAATGTTCCCTACTCAGTTACCTAAGCTTCTGCTATGAAACATTAACAGTAATTTTTTCTTTTTTGTGTAGCAGTTTATCCTGGTTTCTGAGCTATCCATGGTAAATACAAAAAAAGAGAAAGTTTTCTCTAACTGGTCAGATTTGCATTTGAGTAAATATGTGCAGGTCTGTGGTAGACTTCAAACAGTAATGCACTGTCGAATGCAGCCCTGTTGCTGGGCAGGAAATGTTAGGCCCTCTGAGAAAATTAACTTGCTAAGAAAAATAAAAAAAGAAATTCTCCACTCCCATTCCAGCTGTGTTTGCATGATAGAACACATTCCCACCCCTCCTCTGCAATCACTTTCTGCAAGCCTCTGATACCAAGTCTGCCCTGACAAGCCCTGCTGAAACATGGCTGCGAGCCTCTAATCTAGCACGTCCCAGTAAGATAAAGGTTCCTGGAAGCAGGTATTTTGAGATCAGGCACCTTGCACAATAGTTGAGAACTGCTATGGGTTTCCAAAGATACCTCTGATGCTCTCTAAATGGGAGTTTAGTTCTCTGGCTTTGGCTGCTGCACCCTTTCACCATAAAGTATTGTCTCTATTCTGTGCATTTACAGTAGGTTCTGGTGTACACTGTGCCATGACACACAGCACTGCATTCCAATGCAGCTGTGCCATGACACAGCATTCCAATAGCACAGCTCTGTGTTTCTTCGTGGTAGGAGCCTCTCCTAACACTGAACTGGACTTGTGCAGCAGGTAAAACCATTACTATGTGCCATAACATGAGGGCAAAGCCCTCAGAACCTTGCGGTCTCGATTTTCAGAATGTTTCTCCACTATCCTGGGACAGTTCCTGGGATGTTAGAACCAAGAACCATCCAACAGCAAACACTGGAAATACCTTAACTGAAACCTCAGGCTGGCACACTTATGCCAAACAAAAGAAGTGTAATCATTAAATAGTGATTAGTTTTCTGTCTTCTAATCTCTCTCTTGGATACTCTGAACGAAAATAGTTTCTCTTCCTTTCAGGCTTCCAGGAATGAAAATATTTTTTTATCGAGTTCAGCTTCTCAAATGTACAAGGCAATCTCAGTTTTGTTTCAAATTAAAGCACAGTGGTGCTAACCAGACCACCTGAACCATCAAGACATTTGTTTGAACATCTATGGGTAGTCCTAGTGGTCCTATGTCATTAGAAAATACAAAGTTTCCTCCTGCTGCTCCAGGGTGTTTATTTTATGAAATCTTTTAAGTGTGGGCAAAGTCTGTGGATACAGAAATTACTGAGGAAATTGATAAACTTATATATGGAAGCAAGATACATTCCAAAAAAGCATGCTCCATTTTCATATTGCTCCAGCTAAGGCAGTATTGTGGTTAAAATACAGAAACAACAAAGCTTGAAACAGGGAACATTTCCTGTAGTTACTGTGCTATGAAGGCTAAATTAGAAAAACAGTAGGAATTTACAATTTAATTTACAAGTTTAGAAGTACTAGAGCTGTTGAAATTACTTTGCAAACATGATTAAAATTTCCCATCTTCTCACTGAGTGAAAGCAGCAGCACCTGAGTGACAGGAGGCTACTTCAGCTGCTTCAAGTGGCACCTGCAAATCTCTGCAGGAATGAGCCCTCAGTTCATTGTTCCTGCCTAGGAGGGCTGGGCAGCACTGAAGGCAGCACTGCTCTCAGTAGCCACTCATACTCTTAGACATCAGTCCTCATGTAACTAAGAAAGCCTCAACAAGCTATCATGCTGCTTGTACTTTGCCCTTACCTCTTCCTTCTTTCAGAGCTGAAACAAAATCCTTTCACTAAACACCATTTGACTGATAATCCTAGGGACCTGTTCTGCTGAAAGAGGTTTTAAGAGGTTCTTAATTTCTAAAATGCCTGACAGCCCTCAACTTCAATGTTCAGAGGCAAATCCTTTACTTGCCTTTCTCCAAATAATGCAGAACAGTAAGATACCCCAGGCCCACAGCTGTAGCAGTCCCCCAAAAGCTCCTCTTTCCCCCTCCCCACGCAACAGGAACACAAAAACAATCCTGTCTGGCCCAAAGAAAAACCCAGGTTGAGCCCAAAGGGGAGAGGCTTTTTATAGCTGAAGAAGTAGTCAGCTAACACAGCTGCCCTGAACTACCCACTGAATGTCACAGAACTGATCTTGAGCCCCAGCCAGACTTTACTGCTGGCAATAAAACATTCATCATTCATAACATATTGACTTTTCAGGGTTGTGTTCTGAGGTCTTAAAATGACAACTATTACCTTCAGCTATTGCTAGCATGCAGTTCCCTTCTTCTCAGACACACACCACTTTATATACCAAATTACATAACATCTGTTGTGCAAAAGGCATAAGATGCTGTGCTTAGTATTGGGTTTCTACTGCACAAAAGTATATAAAACAAAGTAATTTTGTTTTTCCAAAGCACTACTTTACTTTTGTTCCTGTTACCCCTAACCTTGGGGGGGGGGGGTAATTATCTAAGAAAAAGAACATCTACAACCTGTGTAACCTTCAGATAAGAGATAAAGGTTAGTTAACTTTTTTGCTTACTGAAGTCTCTGTCAGGAATTTCAGTGAGAAATTAATGGCTGTCACACAGGGTCAGACCAAAGTCCCACCTGGCTCAGTATCTTTTTCCTGAGTGATCAATCCCTGAGCAGTGCAAGATCCTCAGCCAGCTGCACCTTGGTGACATGATGACTGGAACCATGTGCATTTTCATGGTGGGAGGTAATAACATAGTGCACAGTGCCAATCATCCTTTGTTACTTTTGGTTACTGGTAAAATTATGAGGAAATGAAAGATGTATGGCTTAGAAAAGAGGTTGAAAACGTGTGCAAGGGGGCTAAACATTTGTTTAAGATGTGTTTATGCTTCGTAACATTTATCAGAAAAACCCCTGGCATAACAGATATTAATTTCTGCCTTTTCTTGAAACTGAAGAATAAAGCATAGTATCTTATTAAATGGAAAAACCATCCTTGTGGACTTGGGATATCCAGACCCCCTTTCAGCAAAACTCAAATTGAATTGGCTGAGTCACAGTAACATTTCTACTACATATGCCACTGACAGAGGAACACAAAGGGTTTTATTTTGTCTGTCACTCAAACTGAATGTTCTGGGTAGAAGTTAAGTGGTGAGCTCAAAAAGCAGCTTTCTTAAAGTTGTAAGTCTGGTGAAACAAGTTAATACTGTACTCTCATTACTACATTTGGGCTAAAATCTAGTAAATAATATTGGTATTGAATTTAATTTCAAATAAATGTGAAAGCTAGAGATCACTTTGGTCAGAGGAATCAACCAGTATGATGTTTCAAAACTGCTTAAATCAGTTTTATGTTTAAACTCAATTCAGTGTCTGTTAATCTAAGCCATGCAGTGTGGGGAGATGGATTCCAGCTAACACTTGATTTATGGTGGGGATTTAATGGCTTTAGTCACCTGCAGTGGGGAACTTCCAGTGACTACTGCCACTTCCAGTGAACATGGGGGGGGGCTGAACTGCCACAGTTTGTCCTCACTTGCAGACTTTTCAGTCCTCTTTTATCTTCTCACACACAGCTTGTGTGTCAAGTAGCCTTGCACAAAACTGCTCACAATCCAATGGCTTTAGAACGTACACATTCTGTTTGACTCCTGGCATTTTGGTAATGATTAACACTTCCACAAGGACAAATTGTGAAAATGGGGATCAGTTTGGGGCAACAAATCTCAGCTTTCAAAAAGTCTTCCCACTACTTTTTTTTCCCTGGTCACTCATCAAATGCTTATCATCTGTTTAAGAAATTCACTCTAGGCTTTGCCATGTACTCAAGAGGATTTTTCAGTGCAGCACGGCTGCTGATGTGATTCTTCTATCAGTGCTGTGTTTAAATATGAAGTCAAAATAAAAGACCTCCAGACGTTATAGGTTTCTTCTTAAGTATGTTCCCAATCTCTTTACGAAGCAGGAATGATGGAAGTGGGAAATCTGAGTATTTGAACAGCACTGTTTCCAACTCTGTAGCTACACTTTGTGGATTACAGAACAGCCTTGATTTGCAATGGCATGTTTGTGGGAGTTTCCAGCTGACACTAAAATATGGAGGTTTATAACTAAGTGTCCTTGACAGTTTTTATTTTCCTTTTTTTTTTTTATGCCAACACAACATGGCATTCCATGTAACAGAGGAAATGATTACAATCTTGATATGTCACAGATGTGTGCTGATGATTTGCATGGTTTAAATACTGAAGGTTTTTTAGGTGAATACATACACTGATGCTGAGCAAAGGCAGAACTTAGAAGTTTTACCATACAGAACAAGAAAGGGCATTCTGGCATAAGGTGACAGGAGAGGCAGAATGGAAGAAGTAGGAAGAGGGACAGTGTATGAAAGGAAAAAAAAAAAAGATTGGAACTAAATTCTTGAAACAGATGTGAATATAATCTTTTTCACATTGAGAACTAATCCTTGATCTTTGAGGTCACATTTCCTGCATATGGTGAAAAACTTATTTCTTTTGAGTTTCTCTGCACTATGGTTCATATGCACGACACATACTTGAAATACAATACTGTAATAAATACAGATTTACTGACTACATTGCCTTTATCAGTGCTACTATGAGCTCTGTAGATCTTATGTTACAAAACAGAAAGTCCCACTGTGCCCTGGTTAGAAAAACTTCAGTACTGTCAGATGACTGTGTGTGTGACTGGGGGAGTTATCTGTGGTTGCACTGTGCCAAAACAAGATTACACATAATGCCAGCTCTATACTTTTGAAAGGTAAGGGGGAAAGTTCTGCTGGAGACTAAGATGGCAGTTCTTATTAACCTCCTACAGAAAATGTTAGACTTCTACACTGCTACCCTATCTGGCTGTTATTGCTGACCTGTCATATCACTCATGAAACCCCAAGGAAGTAGCAGATTACAAGAGAGCTGTGTGCCCTTGCAGAGTTAAGAGCACAAGCTGGTATTTATGAGGGCTGCTGAAGCCAATTACTTTTGGTTTCAGTTTGTCTAGGCTAACAGGAAAATAAGACTGCTCAAACTGTTTTGCCCCATACATAAAGCTGGACTTCAGGAATGCTTTTGAGACACTGAGGCTCAGTTAGATATGCAAAAGTACATAGGTTAATTCTAGAATTATCTCCTCAGTAAAATGCAGGTGACTCATATAGCCAGGCCTTTATGGAGTTATTAAGGCTTTTCTCCACATGGTAATATCAGCCTGTGGTACCCAGCAGTCCTCTAAAAAAGATGACACCTCCAGTGGTCAAGCTTGGAACGTGTGTTGACAGACATTTTGCTGAGGAAGCTCAGACTCTCTTCTGCAAACAATTCAGGATACATCAGCAAACTAACCTTAAAGCCATGCTGTTCTCAAATGATGTTGTTTGTTGGTTTTGACCACTATGCAAAGACCAGAGTCCTACCACAGGACAACAGTTTCACCATCAGCTAAGTAATAACTTCATAAATACATCAGTTTCAATGTGTGTAGGGTTTTGTGCAGCTCTGGGTGCTACTATCCCATGAATTCCTATCACGTGAATCACCTGTAGAAAGTTTCATGTTCATGCAGTCAAGCTCTGTGTCCTGTGTATTCCACCCCTGCCCCCACTTACTTTGCCTGCATTCACTCACGGATTTGGGAAACAATTAGTTTTACTCCTGTTGTCGCCGAAAAACATGGCTAAGAATGAGGTGGGCATGTATTTTATACAACCTTATTATAAACCTGAGTAAATACTTGAGTGTTTCTTCAGTATATAGGTATAACAGTCATAATTTGGCTCTCATGATTATTGTCAGTCCTGTGCAAGTCAGAAAGAATCAAATTTAATTCAGCTTGATTTTTTTTTTTTAAAGTGCAAGTTCTCCTTAAGTAGTCTTAGTTGTGTGAAAAAACATTGTGTGAGTTAGGGGGCTTTGAGCTAACAGCCATTTTTACACTGTTAATTTTCAGAGCAGGACAGTATTTAGTAGAAGTAATGGGGATCCTAATAACTAGGACAGAGCACAAGAGGAGGAAAAGGAGAAACACTTTGCTACTCTACCAGTGCTTTTGTATAGCATTCCTGTCAAGGTTCCAGCAGCTACGGTGTTCAGGTCATCTTCTGCACCTCGTGTTTTTTCAATGATGACTCCAAATGCACTGTAAAGTAGAGCTGGGGAAAAAAAAAAAGATTAAAAAACCTCAAGTTAAAACCCCCATTGCCTGAGACACAAGGCTTAGAATCCAGGCTTGGTGTAGCTATTTAGACTGTGCTTTTGAAGCACTGATTTTCTGCTTATTTAAAGGAGTGAAATCCTCTGAAATATCCCATCTTTGGTGGTTTTTCCCTCAGACCACTTTCTATTTTATAGATATTTAATTAATATTGAATTGCTTGTGATTTGACATGCACAGGCAGAGAAGCAGCAGCTGGAAATGAAAACTTTATCCCTAGAGCACATTTTGCTCTGGGACAACTTTAGACAACTAGAAAGAAAAATGCATGGGCTTTTCAGAATGGATGCATCTATCATCTATGCATTGTGATGAAGGGAAAAGGCATCACCATCATCACCCCTCATGTATTTCATGCCTGAAATGAAACACATTAAAACCCCTGCTTGTATTTCATGCTGACAATTTGAAATCTTTACTTCTGCTAAAAAGCATGTAAATCATTCCTGAACAACAGCAATAATGTTGAGGAGTTGAACAGCAGCATCTTTCTCCTTTCAGCACAGGCAATAATGGTATTTTAGCTTGCCTTAGCAGCAAGCAGTATTAAGAGTGAGGGGAAGGAAAAGCTGTATTCAACATAATTTTTTTAAGCAGTTCAACACAGATGTTGCCCCCGTTCAGGAACAGAATGACAAAAACTGTCAGTAGTGACAAAAAGAATCTTTGAGATACAGAAATGCTGGACAAGCAAAATCAAAAGCAAAAATAATTCAGCTCCTTTGAAAGGAACTTCTCTGGTAGCTAGGACAAGACAGAGCTATACAAAATCCCCAAAGATAAAGTTCAGCTTAACTCTCTGATTTTTGAGGCTGTATTTTGTAGGAAAATAACAATTTGTTACTGGAATGCACAAACACTTTCTTGAGTAATCTTTCCTCAAACACAGCTGAAAAAACATGTTAATGTGTCACTTAAACTGGAACCTTGAACTGCAGTGTATCTGCATCTCAGTTTTCAGACATGTTTTGATTACATTTGGAACAAAAAATAAGAAAAACCAACCAACCAAAAAATGGCACAATAAAACTCACTAGGCAATCAATGCATCTCCTATGAAACAAGTGCCACTTTTGCTGTAGTTCAGAATCCTGTCTCTAACTGTGGCTTCTCTACTATGTCTCAAAAGGTAATGTCTGATTTGAATGGCAGTTAATCTGCTCCTCAGAAATAAGACTGAAACAAAATATAATTAATGCAACTTAGTGTATGCTTTGATGCATTTCTCAAAATTCAAATATATGTAAGGTTATAACACGATGTAATCTGATTTAAATATTGCTAAGTTCCATTACAATGTTGTAGGGCAATGAGTTCCATCATTATTCTTCTTCTTCAAAATAATTTCATCAGTTTTACATTTCTCCTTTCAAAGGTACTGTGTAACTTCTGGTCTTTTAAGACTGGGGAAGACTGAGGGTAGGGGGGAGGCCAAAGAGCTTGTATTCCCTAGGGCATTAGGTATTTCCCTGACTTTCATGAAACCTTCTCCAGTTTTTCTAAGGCAACTGATGTGATTTTATTTCACAGCCCATTCCCCACCCAAACCCCAGCTCACATAAGTCTCTTCTTCATACATCATGTTACTGATCATTTGTTTTTCTCTTTTTTCCTAACCCATACTAGTTATGAGCAATATTTAGGTTTAGAGTTGGTGGTGTCATATGTGACTTTTCTAGTAATGGGCCATCATTAAAGGATAAATCTTTGTAGTCACTGTCACTTTTCTACTTCAGATAAATATTTTGTTGACTCTTTAAATGGAAACAAACATCAGGCAGTTGATCACATGATCTCTGTAGGTTAGAAAAGTTACTTCAGAAGTATTAAATTATATCTTTTTGCCTTAAGTTGCAAATTAACTGTAATTTATTAAGAAATAAGCATTATCTATAATTTCTAGTTATTTCTTTTACTCTATAGCTAGAGTCCTTTTTTGTAATATAGTAAAAACTTTGAGGTTTAATTAAAGGCTTTTGGTTACTTATGCTTCAAACCCTATTTTAGCCTTTAATTTCTTCTTTGATGTCTACTGAAATGTCCTCATGTTCCAAAGAAAAAAACTTGCATTTTTTCCACAATGGATTTAATAACGAAAATTTAGAGAATTCTGTTTAGAGAATACACAAATACACTTTCCCAATAATTACATCTTTAAATTGTTTTCCCTACAAAAGAATGACTTTACTTACCCAGTGATCCCAGTGTGTTAGCCCATAATGCTCCTTGCCTTGTCACCATATTTAGAATTCTAAAAAGGAGTTAAAAAGGTATGAAAATGTTTAGTGCTCTGTGTTTACATCAAGGCAGTGTTTATGACATCAGGTCTTGTGTGTTTACTCATTTGGTTAATAAAACTGGAATAATGAACTGAAAGCTCTTCAAAACAAACCATTAAGGAAACACAGCTTGGAAATACACAATCTCCATCATGGATAGTGTGCAGGCAATACTGAAAGCAAATATTCAGTCCTGTCAAATCTTAAGAAAACCTTTATCTCTTTTCAGGGTAAACATGACCCTCACCAAGAGTCAAATCTCTTCCCTTCAAATAGCTTTCTAACCCTGGGTGTTCCTTATGTGGTGACTACACATAGTTACTAGCTGATGGGTAAACCTATGCTCAGGTAGCTGGGTAAAAGACCTCTGGGAAAGCCAGAGTGCCCTTCTAGAAGGACCATGTGCCAGGGAGTGGGGCGATGCCTGAGCCAATCTCAAACTAAAGCAAGTCAGGAAGAAGAGAGGCAATCCTTTGCAATTCCATTTGTCCAACTTAGCACCACCAGAAGGTGAAGAACCCTGGGTATGTCTGTATGTATGCTCCCAGACTAGCACTACAGAGGGGAAGGAAACCTCTAGTGCACTCTCAGGGAAGCACAATGACACTTCTTTTTGGCCTCAGCTGTCTCCAGAGTGGGGACAACAGCAGCCAGAAGAAATGACTGATCTTTATCTCCCAGCAGTGTAACACTATCACAGGCACAGTATTGCTCTGGACAGCTGACTACCACTGGAACTTGGTTTATCATTTAAAACAATGAAAAAGTCACACATTATGTCATTTCTGTTCTAATTTTCTATTATTTTTCCTTTTTTTTTAAATACTTTTCATTTGGACACAGGTCATTACTGAACATGGTTAGGAAATAAACTAAACAATAATGGAAAACTTTGTTTTGAAACAAGAGAAAAAAAATCCAAGAGGTCAGGGTACTGACAACCTCTCCTTAATTACAACCCCCACCCCCACTTCTTAACTTTACATCAATTTTGAATTGATGAGAAAATTGATAATTTTCATAACCATGACACATTGAGATATTTGATTTAAATTCATTAAAAAAAAAATCTCTGGACATTTAGGATAAATTTGGAGGAAATCTAGGCAGGTCTCTTCCCTGCATCTGATAAGGAAAACACAGAACTTAATGCACTGTTTGCAGGTGATGACCTTCAGCAGGCCTCTCCCTTGCAGGGCCAGGATAACAGCAGGGTGTGCACTGACTGCCACCTCCTGGCCTCGACCCGCCAAGGTTTGTGCTTAACAACACGGCTTTGTCCATTCCAAACACATACACAATTCTGTTCATCTAGACAAGAGCTGTAATTATAGTGGTGAATATTTTGATAAAGGGGTTGAATACAGAAATAGAATTTAAAATGGGGCAGACCCAGTACAAACTGTACCAGAAAATAATAAGTTCCTCCTCTAAAATTCCCTTGTTACCAAGTATTCTGGGAGTGAAAATTGTTTTCCCCCCATCATTCCACTCCTCCAATTTCCTATGGCTCCTTCACTTAGGTTTTCTTATAGTTGTGTCTAAACTACCAATAATTCTAGAAGAACCATCCTGTTGAAAAAAATGTTCCTGTTTCATACTGTGTTCTGTCAAACACTCAGGTAAGGTGAAATCATGGCAATGCTGTGGGTGTTCATGGATGCCATAATCCAGAACAACTTCCACCTTGCAGCACTTGCTGAGCAGCATGCACCAATGCCATCCCTAATGCAAATCCAGGCAGGCCCAGCTTCTGCATTTTAATCTCCTCCTGGTTTTGAAAAGCTTGGGAAAGAAGGGAGACTCACTCCCAGAAAAATGACAGCAAAAAATAGCTCATAGCAAACTCTGCTGCCTCTGGGAGTATTTCAACACATAAAAACACTGTTTTGCCTTTGAAGTAGATTTTTAGTAAACATCAAGGTAGTAATTCATTCTCAAGTATTTAAGGTAAGTCAGAGGACACACCAACTGTGACTAAATGAAAAGCAAAAAGCTTGAACTGAACATAATTATAATGAAAAACATTTGATAACTTGTTGAAGACAAATATTGATTCCCGTTTGTCCCCACTAAAGAAAAAAAAAGGCATTTATTTTTGCAGTATATTCATATCTGATCTTGTACAAGGTGGAAGAAACAGCTCTGTCACTGAGGTGTACTTTGCTTTGAGATGGAACACTTACTGTACGTTTCTAGGTTTTGACCACGGCATGTTCTGTGTCTCCTTCAAGCCAAGCCTCAAACCATTCAGTGCACCAAACGCTGCCCCTGGTTGGCACAACATCAGTTATTACTTTTTGAGAAGAAAAAGGAACAAAACATCCCTGAAACAATACTAGAAACAAACACTGAGAGTTGACTTCAGTGGACAGACTGAAGTCAAATATCTGTTCATTTAAGACTAGAACAAACAATGCCTTGCAGAACAAGACATTCACAAACTTATCAATTACTGCAGTGCACAGGTGTTACCTGGACAGTTGGGAAAAGTGGAAAACACAACCACCTACCTGTCATACAACACCCTCCAATGGTAAAAAAGGCCAGCTCAAATCTGCCTCGAGTTTTGTTGGCTCCTGTGGGCAAGATAAACTCATCTGTGTCCTGAGGGAAAACAAAAACAAATGCTTTTGTATTTTCCAAGCATACCTGCTTCAAAATGTAGGCCATATTAATGTTTTTTCTTTAATTCATGCAATGAACTAAAGATGGATATGAGTGTTTCTGGAAAATTCTTGCCTAAAGTAGCAGAGAGAGGGAATACAGTATGTGTATGCTTTATTAAGTGTGAAAAAGGACTTTAAAAAGATAAACTGAGAGCTTTTTTTTTTTTTTTCCCTAGCTCTCTTAATTTTTAGAAATTACATCAGTCAGCCAAGGAACTCATACTGTGTGGGTTGTTGGTTGTTTTTGTTTTTAATGACTATTTGCTTAATTATTTATTACATCTTCCAGCAGGCAAAACAAGCCCTCCAAAAACCTTCCTGTTTTCTGATTATGCAGCACTGTTTCCTCACTGAGCAACCTATATTGATACAATAATGCCTTAATTAAGGTTTTCCACTACTCTGACACTAAAGAAAAACTACCTTTGTGCCAGAAGAAGTATTTCCATGCACTGAAATAAGTGACCTATTTTGAAGAGGTGAAAAAAAGAAGGAATACACTCAAAATTAATGATCAGGCGAGGTCAGTAGTTTTTTACTTGTGCATCTTCCTCTTACAGAGACAGGTTTGTGTCCTTGTGAATGGCCTGAGAAGCTGCAGAGAAAGCAGCACATGTACAGAGATTAAGGTGGGCCAAAGAAAGTTCTCAATTAGACATGAACAGGATGCACATGTGTTGATGAGGTGCTAAAGCAGCAAGATCTCTTTTATGCTTCTGTGGTTTCCAGACATAGTATTGCTCATCCCCTCTGTAACTGATACATGAGTGCAACAACTGCAAGCTCAAGGAATTGCATTCCAAGGGGTTTTATTGGCCCATACTTGACAGTAAATGTGGATGGTAATACAGGAAAAATATACAGCTTCTAAAACTGTGAATACTGTACCAGTAAACTGAACCTGTAATATGGTTTCTATCTTCCTTCTAACTAGATTGTTGAAGAAATTCAGTGCATGCACTAGTTAGCAGCTCCTAACAGTTTTCACTACTGCCCCAAAAGTCAAGATGAACCAATCCTTGTCTGTATGTAACATTACAACAACCAAGGAGTCCCATCCTCTGGGTTTCTGCCATAGCATTCTAAAATGCTATTTTATAATGCATGTTACCCTCTGAAGGCAACAAAGCATTGCAGGAAAAACCTTGTTTTGTGCCTGCATTAATGGACCAACCAAGAAAGTGGGTTTTAAATAATGAGTACCATTGTCTCATTTGTTATTATGGGAAGGCCAGAATCAAAATGTAAGGTTCTCAACAATAAGGCTTTTCCTTTGCATTCAGAAAGCAAAGAGATGGTCTTTGAACACAGGAGACCCTCACCTCTCTTTTCTTCACAGAACCCCCAAATTTAAAGGCCAATAATTTAAGTTCTTGTATTTTAAAATATTAGCTATTTCTTTTTCCTTGAATATCTAGATTCCCAGGGACCTGTGGAGACTGCTTGGTGCAACCCACACTGCTAAAAGTAGGGTCAGGTAGTGCTGGGCACTGTCACTCCCAGGTCTTGTGCTTCTCTGAGGATGGAGACCCCACAGCTTATCTGGGCAACTTGTTCAGGTAAAAACCTCAAAACTTTCTCACATTTAAATGGAATTCCCTTTTTATTTCAATGCACTTTCCTTTTATTTCAACACACTAGTGCTAAACTTAAAGGCAGTGAAGTGTTATAACACAGACTGTAGCCTATGTGTTACATCAACAGGTATTTTTAGAACTGTACCACGACACTGATGCCAACACCTTCTAGTTTAAAGCAAATTTCTGTTTTTACAAACTATTAGTATATACACAGGCTTTGTTCTACAGCCTCTGCTACACCGCTTTTAACACCAACATGTTCTCAGATAAACTGTACTAAGGACACAAGACAACTTTAGAGTGTTTTTGGGAGAGGTCTAAATAATCACTCAGCATTTTTCTGACCACTCAACAACAGCAGGCCCCACTAGTGAACACACAAACAGAGCCATATCCTGTTTTCTGCCATTATGGGAATGTTACATTGTAATCTGGGCTACAGCAGCTTCTAAGGAAAGAGAAACATAATAAACAGCCCCCAGAACTCCATTCAGAGCTTCCAGGTACAGAATAAACAGTGTACCATCAAACACAAGGCACACAGATAAGCAGATCCCATGCAACTGTGCTAATTCTACAAAATTTAATGTTCTCAGATAATATGAGCCACATATAGAGAAAAACACTAACTAAATAAAATCATTAAGACATGCATCCTAATTGGACTAACTTAAACATTTTCAGCTGAAAAAAGAAAAACATTAGTGGAGTTCAAATAATTTTTTTTCCTTTATGGTGCCATCATTTTGTATTAAGTAATGTTAAGCTGTGTGTGACAACCATTATTCACAAAGTGGGAAGTTTCACTTCATGATGGTCCCACTTCAGCTGGGAAATGACATAAGTGGTGTGACATTTGCTGCTGCTGTGACAACAAACCCTGTTATCAGGTCTGGGGTTTGGCTGAACACCTCTGCAAAGTTCAGAACTTCACAGAGTCCTGGAGACCAACCCCTGAATCATCAGAATTCTCACAGTTGTGATGATGATCAGAAAATTCACACTTCAGAAAACTAATCCATGAGTGGAGAGATTCTGGCTGCTGTTACTGATTGAGGGGGTTTGGGGAGGGTGTGACCAATGCCAGGACTGCTGTAAGGGTGTGCCAGCCTCAGGGCAGGGAGGGACATCTCCTCTCCTCCCCAGCAGCAGGCTTGTACTGACACAACAGCCTTACCAATTCTCTGTATTTTCACTGGTTGTCTTCTACATGTCATGGCACTGCAAGCTTTTATTAGGTACAACACTCAAAAATTGTTTCTTTCCACTGTTCACTGCTCAATACCTCAGCACATCCTGCACAGCACTGTAGGAGTTTTGGGGTGTTCACGTGTGGTTGTGCAAACTCTGGGATCGAGTTCTACACGATGAAAACAAACCCCCTTCTCACCTGTACTAGATACTTGGGGTCCAAGTTTAAGTACGGTGACAAAGGGCTCATTCCAGTCACTGAAAGGAAAAAAACAAACAGAGCACTTTAACACGAGCTTCCCCAGCAACGATCCACATCCTGTGAGGCAACGGGGGGCACGCAACGGGAGGCACACCTCGTGCGCGGAAGCAGGGAAGATTCCGCCGAGAAGTTGCACGACTCGTTAAAAGGCGGCCCCGGCCTTTCAGGAGGCGGAACGGGAGCTCCGGGATGGGGCGGCCGCGGCGTGACCAGCGATTGTCGCGACACGCGGCACGGCCGGAGCCTGGCCCTCTGCCCCCATCGCGGCAGGGGCAGGAACCGCCGGGGACCGGCTTCTTGCGGGCGGGCCTGTCGATCCCCGTTCCGCCTTCCATCCCCGAGACCGGCCTCGCTCCGGCCGCCCGGCCCTGCCGCGCTGCCCGTGCGTGGACACTGCCCCCCGCCCCACCCCGCCCCCGCCGGCTGCCCCGGTACTCACGCGGCACCCCGGCGAGGTCGGCGTGCGAGTACCCGAGCCCCCCGGCGCCGAAGAGGCCGCCGAGCCCGGTGCCCTTGGAGTTCCCGCCGCCCTCCATGGCGGCCGCCCCGCCGCCCTCACCGCCCGCTGCCGCCCGGCAACGCCGCAAAGCGCCGTAAAGCGCCGCCGGGCCGCGCTGCTTTGCGGGTCACCATGGCGACGGGGTGAGGCGCGCCCGCCGCCATCTTGCCGCGAGCCGCGGGCCGCTCTCCCCGGACGCGGCTGGTTCCCGAAGCCGATCCCATTCCCGCTCCCGCCGCGCCTCGGGAACGGCCAGGCGTGCGGGGCGGAGGATGCGGACGGGCCGAGCCGCTGCCGCAGCGACGCGCCGTCCCCGGGGGGCGGGTGCCGGCCGGCCCCGGCGGGCAGGGCAGCCCCGCCGAGGATGAGCGCGGGCTGCGGTCGGGAACCGCCGCTCAAGAGAGCCCGGCTCGGCCCCGGCAGCCCCGGCGGCGCCCAGGGACAGCGGCAGGACGGGCCCGCGGGCAGCCCCGCCACCGCCGTGGGGAACAGAGGTTGGTTTGTGCGGGCCCGGGGCGGCGGGACGGGGCTCCCCGGGATCCGAGTGGCCCCCGCCCTTTGTGCCGCTCCGTGTGGCCGTGCGGGGACGGGCCGGCGGGTCCCCCTGTGCCGCCCGGGGCAGCCCTGCGAGCCGCTGCTGCAGGGCATCCCTCGGGCATCCCTCGGCGGCGAGCCCGCCTGTGTCTGTGCGCGGAGCCTCCCTGGAGCTGCCCTTCCTTCGGAATGGAATTATTTCCCGCTCCGGTTCCCGGCGTGTCCCGAGGAGCCGAGCCCGCTGGTCAGTGTGTGCTGCTCTCCCTTGGAGACGGCGCTGGGTGCAGGATCTTTAGCTTGGTTTTGTGCCCGAGTCTTTGCGAACTTGCACTGACAGCGGAAACCATCCCGGAGAGGTGCGAGCCGCCAAAGGGAGCGTGTTCTGTAGGAGAGAAGGCGAATACTTGCTGCAGGAAAAATGGCTTTGGGCGGGGATTGTGCCGGGCTGTCACAGGGAGAGCCGAGAGCAGTGACAGGAGCCCACATGGGCTGTGGCTGCCGGCCCGGAGCGCTGCTGGCCCCGTGGGGCGGGCAGGGGTGGCTGCTCCTCCTGCCGCCTCGCAGAGCTGCCCGGAAAAGTTCCCACGTGGCTTCCTTAGTTTTGTTTCTTATTTGGAGCCAACGCTGTCAGAATAAAATTTTAATGCACGACAAAGTGCCTCTTCCAGGAACAGAGAGGAATGGAGGGAAGGGGAAAAAGACCCCAAACAGATTTGCTGTAGCTGATGAGTTAAACCCCAGTGACCAGCAGCTAAGAGGCGCCTTTGAGCAGATAATAGTTCGCAGTTGTAGGTGTGCACTCCTACGGAGTTGGAAAGTAAGTTGTTTTTCTCAGAGGTAGACTGTGGGGAGTGGTTTCTTTTATGGAAATGATTTGGGGAATCTTGAGTAGAAATTTAGACACCACTTAAAAAATTACAGCAAAGTCTGGTTCTGTTGTTTACCCTGAAAGTAAGTTTGTGTTGTCTTTTTGTTGCCTGTTGTTTTCACCACCTTTTCTGTAACAAAAAGTGATGCTGTTACGTGTGCTGTAGGGCTTACATGGTTACTCAGTTGTTAAAGTTCAGTCCAAAGCCATTTGGTTGTGATGCTGCTGCCATGATTTCTTTTTATTGTGTTATGAATAAGTATTTCTTCCTCAACATGAGTTTATACCTCAGGAGTTAGTCAGCTGCCTTTGAAGAGGTTTATTTGTCCCATGTTTTCACATGTCTTTTCAGGCTGTTTTTTTTTTTTTTTTTTTCTGGCTGCTTCTTTTCCCTTACCTTAATTTGGGTTAACACTTCAAATGTAGGAAGGTGAAATTTGGTAATCAGAATGACTAATAGACTTCAATTTAGTGAGTCTTTAGAAGTAAAAGTATTGTAGTTCATAAAATCTGTCCATTTTTGTCTGAGTGTGGTGAGGCTGAGCATTTGTTGGAACACTGATTATGGCACAGGTATCCTTGTGCTTGTAACCTACACACACCTTGGCATTGCTCCCTGGTCACCCAGGCACATAATGGCAATTTTGCACTATTATTTGTGCCATTATAGAGGAACCTAAAACCATTTAAACATTTTCTGGGGATTACTTCTCATTCTAGAAATTCTCTGACCTCTGATGAGGATATTTGATAACCAGCTGTGGGAAAGTGTTTATGAAACAATGTCTCTTAAGTTACCTATGGCCTAAGCTGCCTTTGATACAAGTTACACAACCTCCATTTGCAGAAAAAGCCCCTAGTGACTGTTAAATTAGAAGAGCCAGGTCTGCTGTACTGGTTTTTAAGTTCTGCAAAACTATTGTTACAATAAGGACACTACAAATGTTACCTACCCAGTTGAAAGCATTGAGTAAACACTTTGCACAGTCAGCAGTAGCAGGTAGGTACTTTCTCTTGGCAAATGGAAAGCAAGGAAATGGAAGGAAGTTGCCACGTTTGCAGAATTACCATTAAATAAAACTAACAAAACACAACTAAAAACACACTATGCTAATGAAGATATTTCCAGTTGTGAAATAACTGCTTTGAGTTTTTTCTCACTAATCCCCCACCCAGGTTTCTGCATAATTAGTTCAATTGAAAGCTTGTATGAGGTGCAAAAATATACAGATAAGACTGGAACTGTGTTGTTGGTAGTAAATCTGAAAAAATTCTGTCCTTTGTTTTGTTGCTGTTTTTGAGTAGTAAGCACTGAAAAGCTTTTCAAACTGTTTATGAATGGAGGGGAAAAGAAGAAGTCCTTTTCAGAGCACTTGTAACTTCTAGTGTGTGCCATGGTTATATTAAGCCTTATGTTTCCCAGTATGCTGCATACAAATAAGGTTCTTGGATGGGTCCTCTAAGATGTCTAGTTGTTCATTCTTTGTTTCTTTTAAGCTGTGTCATGTTGGCTCTTTGTTCCAAAATTCAGCAGAAGGTTTTGGGACTCGGTGTGGTGGTGATTAAAGGTAATGAGGGCTGGAAAGTTCAAATTGCCCCCCCCCTTTTTTTTTTTCCTAGACATTCACTGTATATTCTTAACCTTTTAATGATATTAAAAGAATGATGTTGGATGAAAAAAAAAACCCCACCACACATCAAGCCTGGAATTTATAAAGATCATCACAAAAGCGACAGCAGATTTAATACTGCTGGTGTCTGGATGCTCCCTGCAGTAGAGATGCTAATGAGGATTTAATTGAGGTGTTTTATCCAAATCCAGTACAAGTTACCTTATTCTTGTGCAATGATGTTGCAGTTTTATCGTGTTCCATGTAGTAACCAGTGAACTGTGGTTTTTCAGTTTGCAAACAGCAGACAATTACCAGTTGGTTGGAGAATAAAAGACCCAAGACAACGGAGTCCAAAAGGTAAAATGCACAGCACACCTGTTCAACAGTCGTGTTCTGTGAGTGGGCCTGGGGGGAGGTACAGGTGCAGGTTGCCAGTAGAGCTGGATAAGTAGAGGCAGCCCCAGTTCTGCTGCTTTCCTTACCTTGGCACATCCTCTTGAGTTACTAACTGAAAGACTTTCACTACATAAAGCTAACTAGTCCCCCATCCCTCTCCTCTAAACCCCCAAACCCAGACTTTTTGCTGACAGAGATTCCTGAAGCATCTCACAGTTTAGGTGAAAAACCACGGCTGTTCCTACGAAGAAAAAGATGGGAACCTACAGCGAGGGAGGCAAAGCAGGACTTGCTTCCAGTAGCAGTCAGCACTGGATCAAGTTAGCTGTAATATCAAACTATGTCCTTGGTCAACAGCTCTGCTTTCATTTTTGTTTAAAATAGGGCACTAATAGTTACAGATTTTGGCTGATAGTCCTGTGGTCAACTCACAGTTTTGTTGCTATTTTACATTTTGGTTTGTCTGATTGGACTGTGATTGTAGTTTAAACGTGGCCAGCTTGATTTAGTTTCAGCCAGAATTTACAGGTGCTCAAATGTGCATTCCGGTTATTTTATGAAAGATGTTCCAAAAGTTTTGCTGCTGAATGACTTCAGGTAAAGTTTGGTATTTTTTGCTAATGTGCTGTCCAGAGCAATGATTGCAAGGCAGTGTTGAAATTAAACTCCAAAGAGTTTAACTGTCTGGTGCAGAGCAATATCAGATAATATTTTTCTATAGTTGCCAGTAAATGTGCTGGTTTATTTTTCATTGAGTTTTTCCTAATAAATACAAATTGAAATCTCTATCAGTGCTAAAATAGCTGGGAAGACTCATCCTAATGATTAATACAGAAGTATGCAGAGCTAATTAGAGGCTCACAGGTTGCAGTAAATCAGGGATGTTAAAAGGATGCTTACGGAGGAAATCAATTATTTTTTTAAATTCCCTTTAGAATAGTGTTCCTCCATCCCTGCTAACAAATTACAGCCTACTCAGTTTTAAGCAGCAGATTATTCGTGTAAACATTTCATATGCCTTTCTATTGCAATTAACGTCACAATTTTAATTTAAACTCTGTCCTTGTGTTAGATTTGATATCTCAAGTTGGCAACACATGTTGTCAGTACCTTTAAAGAGTAATTCAGATGGCACCAGTAACATAAGTTTCATTTCTGTTCATCAAAATTTTCAGGAACAAATGCAGACATGGGAAATTAAATTATCATAACATAAACCCCTGTAAAATCCTTTCCAAGCTGTCATCTGTTGCTTCAAGCCCCCTTTTTTCTTTTTTGTTCTGGAGTGGTAAAGGTGTGAATGCTCTGTTCTAATCCTGAGTGGTCTTTTAGAAGAGGTCTGTTATCATTCATGGAGAGAATTAATGCCTTCAGGAATCTACTGAGATGTTCAGTTGCTGAATTTAGGATTGTGTGATAATTGCATATTTTCTTTTTTACTGTAGATGGGAAGCTGGGCAATGACCAGACACAGAGTTTGGTTTGCATTGGTAATATATAGAGTTGTAGCAATACATTCAGGAGAAGATACTGTTCAGAGCAATGTATTCACCAAGACTAATCAGGGGTTTTTCAATATTCATGTGCCATCTGAGTAATTTTCTTTATCAGTACATGGACACACAAATTAGTACATAAATGTGAAATGACTTTCCTA